CATTTAAGCTAAATTTTTATTTATATATAAAAATATTAAACATATATATTTTTTATTAAACATTCTTTTCTTTAAAAATTTGCTAATAACCAGAAATTGCACTGCTATAATTTAACAATAACACTGCATATAATTATTATTTATCATTTTTAACCCATACTGAGTGATACTTGCAATTACGTCACCCTTGTGATTTTAACAAAATATAATTTATGTTAACCAGCTAGATAAGGTTACCTTGGTAACATATTTACATCATTAGAATTAGCAAAGCAATGTTCAGGGGGGGGGAAATGAATCAATGATATAAGATTATTGAAGCGATTGGGTAGAGAACTGAAGTAATGATTTCACGGCATTTTTAAAAAAAAATGCACATATGCTGCACAATTCTATTTCATATCATGATGTAAACTGAAAGTTCTGATTAAGTGTGAAATCTGTCTCAGTTAACTTGATGGTCTTACAAAAAAAAATTTGTAATGTAAATGAAATGTAAAAAAATGACATCAAAGCATAGCTAGAATGGATCACTGAGGTCATCCACAGATCTCACAACTCTGGTGTCTTGTGAACACATATATAGAAAAGATTTCAAACTTAACTCATGTCCTAATGAATATACTACAAAACAACCCATATATACGCATATATACGTGACCTCCTTAATGCTCAAATGGCACATTAAACATCAAAGCATAGCTGAAGACAGCATTACACTAGTATTGGCAAAGCATTGACAGAAAACAGCCTTGTACAAAACGTAGCATGTCACTTCAAGGCCTGGCAATTAGAATACAAATGAACCCGGGATGAGGCAGAGGGGGAATAGATCACTAATGGCTGAACAAAAAGATCAATGCTTGGGCTGCTTTCCTCTGGGTGGATGGAGAAAGAACTGGACACTTTCCACAACAGAAAGGCTCACCAAGAGCAGGACATCACTCAAATCAAGCCCAAACTTCACATCGCCGATGATGCACAAAGTGTGCTGTGTGTATTTTCTCCTTATCTTGACAGGAGAGTGATGAAGAGGGACTGGAGCACAGGTTCATGAATGACCTTCATAAATTTATAAGCTTCCTCCCAAGAGCCCAAGAGACTAAGGAACAACATCAAAGATCCAAAAGACCAGTACATCAGGCATGAGATGGTGAAGCCCACGTTTGTCACAAGAAATTTTAGCTAAGAGAGCAAGTTCCTTGGTTGCAGTGTTTTGTTGTGTATGTATAAATACAGTTACATATTAATATGTTTGCATAATTGTGTTGTTGCATTTGTGTATTTGCATTAGATCACATCTGACTGACAATCTATATGCATAAGTGTATGACATGGCTTTTCAAACATGCATTATTATTCTAATAAGAGATACTGATCGATCAAGAAGTCACCCAAACTGGTGCATTTAACTTAATTGAGTATACAGTATTCACTGACTGTATTGAGACACAAGTTTCAATATTAAATGCAGGGTAACGTTTCAGAACCACAGGGAGAAAAATGGCACACAATGTGTTCACTGCAGATATTCTGGAGATATTCTGTCTTTGCATGACAATACATATTGACTGATGCTTGTGTAAGGTGTCTACTTACTGAACCACAGGGTGTCACCATTTTCAGATAAGCAATATATCTGAAATATATCTACTATCTGTGCCTTTGGGAAAAATTAAATGTATGTCAGTATTTTTTTCTGAAGAATTACTAATATTGTTTTTTTTAAATGTAGCCTGATTTAAAGTTAAAATAAAAAATATTGTTTAGGAACACTCTTTATAGGGTAGCACAAGTTATGCTCTATTAAAGCCCTTGTGTGTATGAATAATGAAATAAATTGCAAATCTATATACATAGGCTATCAAATGATTTGTTGATTAATCATTAAGACCAACTGGATTAATTAATAGTAAAATGTATTAAAATTAATGAGAACAGATGAAGTGCAAAGTAAAACTTTTATGTTAATGCAATTACGAAAGGCAATTACTAGAGCTGGGTGGACGGGCTGGTTAATTGGGGATTTAATTAGTGGTTAATTTTGCAGCTGTGCTCAAAACAGGAAAATCAAGCACCCGAACAGCAGTGAATACATAACACTGTACACCTTACCAGACAAAATAACACCCTTAACACTGGAATACACTACATCTGAACCGACCTGAAAACACTAGACATTGTACACTTGCCAAATTGGTTACACAGTAATACTGGGCATCATATACTAAACGACTGAGGATCACACAATACTAGCCTTTCACATTGTTCCAAATACAACAAACTCATGCAGAAACATGCACCTTGTTGCTAGGAGATGCGTCACAAATTAAAACAATATGTGCTCTAAAATTGGCTCAAAATATCGAACATATTCAATATCCTCCAACTGGATGGAACAGTCTGAAACTAAAGAGTCTCTGTCCATCATATGCTACACAATTTTTGTGAAATCTGTCAACCTAAGGCTGAAATATACTATTTGCACAGTGTATTCCAGCCTTATGTTGAATGTTGAATAGTTGCCGAAAATGCCCAGATTCTGGGCAGTTGGAGTTTCACAGAAAATTGCTTAGTGTATGATGGGCACAGACTATGATTTTTTAGCTTGAGACTTTGATTCCATCCAGTTGTAACATATCAAACATTTTCAACATTTTGAGCCAATTTGGGGCCCCAGGCTGAGGCACAAGTTTCTGTGTGAGTTTGTTGTTTGGTGTGACTTGAAAGTCTGGTAGTGTGTGGCCCTCAGCTGTCAAGTGTATGATGCCTATTGTTTTCAAATCTCTTTAAATTTTAAAAGTCGTGTAGTGTATTCCAGCCTTTATACCAAAAATCTGCAGATTGGCTTTGACTTTCAGCAACTAGTGTCGATGCACACAGACTGCAAATCGGAGAAAAAGTCGTGTAGTATATATTTAGCCTTTACTGACATGCACAAAGGTTTTTAGAGAAATATGTCTGATGTCATGTTTCTGCACTATTTGCACACCCATAAAAGCCATACCAGGTCTATTGTTGTCAAGTTAATCATACATAGAGTGCATTGAGAATTTGCGCAGAGTAAGATTGAGTAATCTGTCATTTTGTGTTCTGTTTTCCCCTATGAATGTAGTGGTTAGCTGCAGTGAGGGTTTGGAATGAAAGAGTGTTCTTTAGAGGCAAGTGTACTGATGGAAGTAGAGGATGTAATGACACCACTGAGTCTTGAAGTGAAATGATGGAATAAGGTACGTGGCATATGTTAACTTTTATGAAGAAAAGAAAGAGCACTGGGAGCGGGAGCTGTGCTTTTTAAAAAGGCTATACCTCCCTAGCCAACAGAACAGCAGTGCAACACGGGGGGAAAAGAGACAGATAAGAAACAGAGAAACAGTGAGCTTTTCTCTCAGTTGCAATAAGAGATTAAGAGTGAAAAATCAAGAGTGGTTTATGCAGCTCAGAAGGCAGGGTCCAGGCCAGCTGCTGTTTGTGGTTTATTCCTGAGGTTATGCCTGACAGTAACTTGAGCCATGTGTGTGCAGGCTGATAAAATGTGGATTAAGCAGGAAGGAGAGGGCAGCAAGTAGCATGACTATAACAACTCACTATTGGTCCACCAGGACCCAAATCTTATACAAAATAGATGATTCATTGATTCGTGATTCGTGATTAATTTCTTCCTTTTCAGGTACAGCACAACATAACTCATTTAATACTAATGAGTAGAATTTAGAGTTTAGCCTATTGTGTGTTTGTGCCATGAGCAATAGGCCTATCTGTATTAAATAAAAAGAGATTCTTAAGGATCTTTTAAATTCTAAAACATTCTTAAATATTCTATATCTTAAGGGAACATGTTTTAACATTTGAGCAAGAAAAAGACTTGCTAAAATGTGGTCTGGTCCAAAATCTAGCATACTGTGCATAGGCAGCTGCCTTCTAAGGCAGTATCCTAACAAATACAATATGTAAACTTTTAAGTGACTGATTTTGAACACACTACATGGGCAACAACTCAACTCACAATTTATTCCAGATTTGGAGTTAGCATGTTGCTAAGCTAACAATCAGCCCATCAGACCTTATGTTAGGGTTATTGATGTATTGTATACATTAGAGATTTTTTAATTAAACTGATTTGTGTTTTATCAATAGATTTGGGTACTGAATTAATTAATCATAACCAACAATTACAGTTACTGCTTTTGAATAAGTATTTACTTTGTGACAATAAAAATGATGTCCTATGAATGTGTGTTATATGAATGTAATCCAAACATACTATATTGGCCATGTTGTAATTGTCATGTGACCTGCCAGTGTCAGTTGCATCGCCAAACACAGCCATTCACAAATCCTTTCCCGTGGCCTCATGGGATAGTAAAGTATCCATTGGATGCACACTTCAGAATCTAGTAGTAGGAGTAATAGTAGAAGTAGTAGGTCATCACATTATGAATACTGTGAATTCTGACATACTACTCTTCTCACATAATATTTGTATACATTGGATTTCATGTTGAATTTATTATTTCACTGAACTTGTTGCAGTTCATTATGGGAGTGATTACTCTGTAAAGAACATATGCAATGCTGACTGAGAATTTGGCCTATTTGATGCATCTTAAAAGGCAGCATAATTAAGTTCCCTTCTTTTTGGAACAACGTTTGACACTTTTGTGACACTTTTGAACACTTTCTAAAATGGTGCCTCCATAGGAGTTCATATATAGTGAACTTTCAACAAGTCTTCAGAATATATATATTTAAAAAAACTGAATTTTTCATGAATGTTTTCTGGACATTTTCCATCCATTTCCATCTTGCTGCAAAGGTTTCTCTCACCTTATAAGGAAAAAGAAAACTCCGCCCCTGCTCAGATCTCGATTCAGAACAGTTTCCTCCCTTAACAACCAAAAGCAATTAATTAAACCCTGACGAATTAGACATACTGCATATCCTTTACACATCCCCTTCACATCTAACTGTCAATTCTTTGCTTCCTTTGTCTCCATACAGATAGTGACCTGTCTCATCCTGGCCAAGAGAAGAACTCAGAGACTTGCTCCATTGTCTGTGTCTAGCAACCAGGCAGAGAAGAGTATGCTAGACAAGGCATCAGCTGTTATATGGTGACCGGAGACAAGACAAGAGCCTGCTTTATGAATGCTTCTTTTTCAGATACATCGGAGACCTGCAGTCCGAGATACAACAGAGAATGAATGGCGCGCTTGGCCTGCCACAATGCTCAGCATTCACACCTGACGGGAAAGATGCCATTTGCTCTAAATCTTCAAGAAAATCACCAAACTTCAGTAGCCAACAGCAACATGATCCAAGAAAGAGGAGGAGGTACACTGTCAGAATGTTCCTAAACCTGAAAACCTCTGTCCTGGTTTGTGGATCACTCACGCACTGACAGCCAGGGACATTTTGGCTAAGAAATAACCTCAGAGAGACCTTGCAGGCAAACTGACTGTGGACTGTTCTTTTATATTGAGGGCTAAGTTGGACGGCTGTCCAGCCCCAAGGCCGATATACTGACAAATCAGCCATGTCAGCCTAAAGGAATCTGACTACTAATAATTATAAATGCTTTAAAACTAAGAATTACATCTTGCACACTTTCACCTGTCTGGTCAGCCTGGTTGTGTTCACGCAGGCAGTCTTAAAAATATACTTTGGAGTCTGGACTGCACCTGTCAGTGAGAGGAAAAGAGGACAACTTCCCAAGGAAAGGAACCATTGCGAATCAAAACCGAAAGTCATATTTTTAGAAATTATTTTTAAGTATAGGCTAAGGTGAAGGACACATAATAAGCTCAAATCAAGTCCCAAGGTGATATAGAATATTTCCTTGCTGTCCTTTCTCTCTCCGCACTCTGTTGAGGAAATAACTGAAAGTAAACACACCAGAGAATGATAAACTGCCACATGGAGAAGCACTCTCATCTCAGACGCTTTCTAACTCTTTAGGGTGAGTACACCACCAATGTAACATAAGGCACCCATCTATGATCACATTCATGATATTTTCATAAAAGTTTTGAAATTAAAAAGATGATTAGATGCTTCGATAGGGTTGAAGAGCTCTCATACCAGGTAATCTTTTAGATTGGGCATATGGGATAAGACGGGTTGAACTACATTATCTCTATAACATAACTGGGAACGCAAGGGGTGCAGAAATTGTACAACAACTAAAATCAGTGAAAATCAGTGCTGTGTTTGTTGTGATTTTTTGCTTTCTGACTTGCTGTAAAAGAAACATTAATAATTAATATTAATATTTATAGGGATAGCACACCCCAAAATGAACATTCTGTCAGCATTTACTCACCCTTATGTGTTTCAAACCTGTTCTTTCTTGTGTGAAACACAAAATAGAGATTCATAATGCAACTTTCAAGCTTCCAAAAACTCTATAAAAGCATCATAAAGTGGTTCATATTACATGTACACTATATTCCAAGTCTTCTCAAGTCATATGATAAATTCTGTGAGAAACAGACAATAATTTACCTTGTTACCCATTGATAATCTTCCCATCCATGAATGAATGAATGAATAAGTGAGTCAGTGAGCTGAACTCAAAGAAGTGGATCAATCTGATTAATGAACAAATCATTCAGACTGGTTTTGTGAACTGGATCAACAGATTCATTGAGAAGATCTCACTGTAAAAGAGTAATTCATTCACAAATTAGATGTGTCTAGAACTAGGATGGGATTTTCAGTTTTTCACACATAAAGATTTGGATATAACGCATAAATCTTATGTCCCACCTTTATGATACTTTCTTTTGCTTCCTTTTTGAAGCTTGAAAGTCCCTATTCATTGTAATGGCATTAGAAAAAAGTGACTAATTTTATTCTTTACAATTTCAAAATTTTTGTTCCAAACAAGGACCCATATGGGTTTGGAATAACATGAGGGTGAGTAAATAACAGAATTTTCATCTTTCTTGTTTTCATTTTTCCCTCTTCATGCCTCACCTCAGTCACAGGGAAGCAGTATGTCAGTGATATGAGACTCAGGTCTACAGGGACTTAATTATCAAAGCTTCACAAACGTGCATGTACACAATCCCTATGGCTACACGCGTGCGAGTGACTGACTTTGAACAAACAGTGCAAAATAATGTCACTGGTCCTGGATAAAAAGCAAAACAATTTGTGGTCTGTGATTATAATGTATGCAATGTAGTTTAGGAGCAGATGCAGTGTGCTGGTGCAGCAGTGCTGACTGTGAAGGCAAAGCCACTTACGGGATTGTAAAGACAAGCTGTCTGTCCTGCAACGTTGAGGGTCAGAGGGACCACAGAGACAGGCCATTTGTAAAGGAATTAATGCCTGAGCCCCTGAGCAGAAGGGAAATGGTCTTCTCACACTACTTAAAATCTTTATTCTCTCTCCACACACATCCACATGGTTATCCCCAGCCACATTAACAGGCTTTAGACTAAACACAAGTGTTTCAATTAAAACCTTGTGTTCATTGTTTGACCACATAATAAATTGATTTTAAGAACAACCTCATAAATAAATTGGCGTTTTAGCCATTAAGCAGCTTGGTCTGACTCCAAAATGCTGTTTTAAAACCCCACTGAATAATTTACATAATATTTGCAACATTTAGTTAAACTTTGCATATTTTGGGGAATGGGGAGAGTGATGTGCAGATGAACATACCTTATTTCCCTGTTTTGTTCAGTGACACTGATGGCATTTGACCCCTCAGATTTTCAAGCCAAATTGAGCAAGATCCGGATGGGACTTCTAAAATGTATCTTTGATAATGATTAGTCCAGTCCAGTCACAGATCATTTGTTTTTCATTGACAAATTTGTTTAAAAAGAAGAAAAAAAAAACAGGCATTTCAGTAACAATACAACCTGTTCATCATATAAAGAAAAGTATTTCAATATATATATATATATACAGTGGGTACGGAAAGTATTCAGACCCCCTTAAATTTTTCACTCTTTGTTATATTGCAGCCATTTGCTAAATCATTTAAGTTCATTTTTTTTCCTCATTAATGTACACACAGCACCCCATATTGACAGAAAAACACAGAATTGTTGACATTTTTGCAGATTTATTAAAAAAGAAAAACTGAAATATCACATGGTCCTAAGTATTCAGACCCTTTGCTCAGTATTAGTATGAATTATGATATAATTTACAGTAGAATTTAAATTATATAATTTTACAATTTAATAAATTTATGGTGAAAAACAGTAAAAAAGACATCTCCATGAGTCCCTGCGTGATGTGCCATATTTTTGTATAAATAATTATAAATACTTTATTATGTACACAAAAGTATTTTAATGTTATAATTTATATTATTTAGATCATGTTTATAGCTTTATTTTGGTGATATGTATTACATCATAGTGTAGCAAACCCTGATGACATTTAATTCATCATATGGCCATTTATTTGGCCATTTACATTTATTAACCAAACATATTTTTATTTTGGTTATCAGTATGTAATTTAGGGTACAAAAGCAGATTTATATGTTTAAGTATATTACATTGGTATATTACAGTATATCAGTGATATTAAAAATAATGAAATGTTCAGTTATGAACTGTGAAATATGCAGGCATAAATGCCATCCCATGATGCCTTTTTAATGTGAATTTCTGGCAACCACATCTACTAGTTTTTTTTTTTATCATAAATTTAACAGGATTTTTTACAATGTATATTTTGTCAACTGCACACATGGCATCTTCTTACCTAATTTCCAACTTGTTTTCTCCAGGAACTGTAACCAGGTGTCCTCTCACAGCTGGGACCTGTCTTGAGCACCATTAGCAGTGAACATCATGTCAGAGCTGGAGGACTATTCCCCTCCTCGGGGCCACCTTCATCCTGACCCGGCTCGCATCCAGCAGAACCTCCTGGAGGAGCAGGTGGAGCTCTGGTGGTTCAGCGAGCCACGCAAATCCTTATTATGCTACTGCGCTTCAGTGGCCTTGATCTTAGGCTGCGGCCTGGGCGGCGTAGGCCTCCTTTCCACTACCACCAGCCTTTCCAGTGAGTGGCGACTGGGCGCCGGAACTGTTCTTTGCCTTCTCGCTCTGGCTGTCCTTCTCAAGCAGTTGCTGAGTTCTGCTGTCCAGGACATGAACTGCGTGCATAGTAGGCGCCGGATCAACATGCTAAAAAGCGGTGGTTTATCTGACGTCCTCGTCATGTTGATCACGGGAATCTCTCTGTTAATTTGTGGAGTTGTCCTGCTGGATGTGGCCCTTTCCTACCACATGCCCAAACCTGGGAAGGCACTGAATGACATGTATATATCCGGGGTGGTGATGCTGGTAGGTGGGAGTGTTACAGCGTTAGCGGTCGGGATTTACGCAGCAGTAGTTTTCCTCTTAGAGAGGTCAGGACTGGGGCAGAGACGATGGGAGAGGACAGTGGGGATCTTCAGCATTTCAGGCCAGATGCAGGCAAGGAGAGAGACTGCTTCAAGCCTGGCTCGTCTGATATAATTGTGACTACATAATAAATATACCATTCTTTTACTGAACAGGAACTGAGATGAAAAACTAGCACCCTCAATGATACTTTGCACCCGTTAAACTAAGGCACAAATCACATGTGATATTTACAATTACATTTTGATTCACATTTTGGATCAAGGATCCTGGCATTAAAGCACAAACATTCAGCTTTTACATGTGTCACTCCAATAAAGTACAGTTAAAAGTACTGAAAAAGCACAAAAATAATCTAAAGTTTGACCTTTAATTGATTTTAGATAAAACATGCTGCTTTATCTCCAACGCTTTTGGACAACTACAATATGCGCATGTCCTTGACTGCTTTATTTATGTGGGCAACTGTGAGCATACCAAGTGGTTGTCCATCATGGGATGTCTTTAGCTTTTCAGGAGCTCTGATGTGTGAGCAAATTGACTGACTGTGTCAGCTGAATTCACATATGTGTGGATTTATACTACAACCTGTGCAGGCAATGCTATGGATCAAATAAAGGATCAGTATGTCAAGCTGCAGGATGTGAACACATTGTGATTTTATTGGTGTGTGTGTGTGTGAGTAAATGTTTCTAATGAAAAGAGGGATATTTTTCTTTGTAGAAACAGTGAAGTTGATCTACACTTTGATGCAAATTATTGGTATTTTGTTTTGGAGTGCTTATGAAAAACATTCACAAACAGATGGAGATAAACAGATGGCAGGTTGTAGCCATTTAGTGGAAATCTATTTCAATTTGTTTGCATAATAGAAAAACATTCAGGCTCTGCCTTGACAACTTTGGAGAAATTACTTTGGAAAAGCCGGCAGCAACATAAAACTTTGGATTGTGACTCACCTTAGTAGACTGTCCCTAGTTAATGCAATGAGCTACACCTGTGGCTACTCTGGTACGACTCCTGTGTGAACTCAAGGGGAACTGAGGCTACCTCCACATTAATCTGGATTTACATTTATTCAGTTAGCAGACACTTTTATCCAAAGCGACTAAAAATTGAGGAGCTAAATTTACATTTAAAAACACATTTTTCTCTATTTTGTACAGCAAAAACTGACCTTTATATAGGTTCTACCGGCATTGTGGTGCATGCTATTCACTTTCATATTGTTACTAAACAAATGCTACTTTGTACAATCTTCTTGTTATGCTCCTGCAAAGAAGACAAAATATGTACTTGCAATTGCTGTCCTGTGGTAAAACAGCTGACGAGTTGCATTTTAGACCATACATTAAATGGCTATTTTAAGTTGAACCTGCATGCACCAGCGAGTGGTGGGATTTTGGATACAACAATTGTGCGTAGAATAGCATGATCATTTTATCTTATTTTATCTGGTCTCTCTGTATCAGTGAGTGTAAATGACATTTTAAGCACGTGCAGCAAGGTGATTTAAGGGTTTTCAGATGTGTCAGTATGGAGCAACTTCTGGAAAACACTTTAAAAAACTCTATTTTGGACGTACCCTGACTTCATGCATCACAAACATCCACTAAAAATGATCCTGGAACATAATGGTTAAAAGTCATTGCAAAAGTGGCTCAGATAAGTGAACTTTTAAGGAAAGCCAAGCACATTTGATTGTATTACAGTATGCTACTTGGGTTGTTATTTCATTTTATATGCACTGACATTCATACATTGTGGCCTAGGTGCCCAGATACTTTTTGGGGACATCATAGATGGGATTTAGTTTAAAGAGTCATCATGAAGCAAGATTCAATGTGTTCTCTTTGCAAAGCAAACATTAGATTTTCCAAAACACTACTAAGTATTATTTTTAACATAAAATCTAGAAATAACAGAAATCTACAGGCTGGTTAAAATGTTTCAGCTTGGTCCTTTCTGCATGTGTGAGAAATTGTGTTTGACAAACCGTGCAGCTGAGTCATTCATCCATAGCCCATCCTGTGAGGACAGAAGTAAGTTCTGATAGGGCCAGTAATGGGCTGAGGGACCGTTATCATGGGCTGGGTGGTGTTGGCCAATGACTGTTCTTACCCACAACAAGATGGCTATTGTGCAACAGCTGCTCAGTCACCACGTAAACAATAGCTGACTCTGTGACCCATTGTCACCCGTCTACTGGCCTGTCATGTGTTGAGACTGATAAAAATGAAGGCGAGCAAAAATAGCAATGCATACAACACCCGTATTCGTGGATCATTGAAAAAGAAAATATTTTATCCATTACTCATAGTTATACCCCTGCATAAAACGGCAATTTATTTCAATAGCTGGAATATCCATAGGTAAATAAACAAAAAATAAGCCTTTCCATACAGCACAGAAAAGAATCACAAAAACGCTTGCCAAAACAAAAATCAATTTATTTTCTCACAATGACCTTTAGTATATTGTTGAGGGAAAAAAGTTGTCAATAAAAAAAGATCAAAAATACATATTTCATATTCAGTGTGAAATAAATATCAGATGTTGTCACGCCATTGACCTTTGGTAAATAAATGAGGGAGGAAGCCGTTTAGACATGACAAATAATATATTCTGCTGCCTCTGCAGAGGTGGCAGACAGTATTCCACACACACACACACACACACAACTGTCGCACTGATAAAACAAGTGGTGCAATGCATGCTGAATGAAAGAAACTCTGAGAGGATTTTCCCACCAATTACATACAAAAAATTATGTGTGATCAGATGCGTTGACTGCTGTGGATTAAAGAAACAAATGCAATCATAATTAATACAGCACATCAGTTATTTGCTGATCGGTTCATGGTAAAGTCATTAAGCATTTCCACTTTCCATTGTACTTTTAAAAGTGTGTAGGCATTTGTGGTATTTTGAGTGAGCACAAACCAAACCAAACCAAACCAATGACAAAGATACGGGCCTCTCTGACTGTCGCACTGATAAAACAAGTGGTGCAATGCATGCTGAATGAAAGAAACTCTGAGAGGATTTTCCCACCAATTACATACAAAAAATGATGTGTGATCAGATGCGTTGACTGCTGTGGATTAAAGAAACAAATGCAATCATAATTAATACAGCACATCAGTTATTTGCTGATCGGTTCATGGTAAAGTCATTAAGCATTTCCACTTTCCATTGTACTTTTAAAAGTGTGTAGGCATTTGTGGTATTTTGAGTGAGCACAAACCAAACCAAACCAAACCAATGACAAAGATACGGGCCTCTCTGGTGAAAATATAGTGTTACAGTGGTGTCCTAACAGTAAGCTAGGCTGCCTTATTAATCATTGATTTTGAGCACAAGGTATTCATTTCATTGGGCCTGTGGTTATGTTTACAGCTCTACAGACATAAGATCATATCACACAGAGATATTCCCGCCACCTACAGCAGAAATGAAAATAAGCAGATTAAGTGAATATCTGACAAGTTAAAGGGATAATTCAAAAATGAAAATTCTGTCAACAAAAAAAAACACCCTAATGTCGTTCCAAACCAGCGGAGTTATTTTAGTATCATTGACTACATTTACATGTGCACCAATAATGTGATTATTTCCAATATTCAGAGTAAGATGTTTACATGCCTGTTTGGAAGACATATTTTACTACAATTATGGTTGCTACGATTATGAGCTTAATCGCATCAATTTGATCAGTGTATTGCGTTTACATCAGGTAAAGTTTAATTACAATATTGTTTAAATCTCTTTATGAGGGTAGATATAAATGTAGTCATTGGTATACTATTATATTTTTTTGTTAATATTTTGAATTAATTTAACAGATTAAGTGAATATCTGACAAGTTAAAGGGATAATTCAAAAATGAAAATTCTGTCAACAAAAAAAAACACCCTAATGTCGTTCCAAACCAGCGGAGTTATTTTAGTATCATTGACTACATTTACATGTGCACCAATAATGTGATTATTTCCAATAATCAGAGTAAGATGTTTACATGCCTGTTTGGAAGACATATTTTACTACAATTATGGTTGCTACGATTATGAGCTTAATCGCATCAATTTGATCAGTGTATTGCGTTTACATCAGGTAAAGTTTAATTACAATATTGTTTAAATCTCTTTATGAGGGTAGATATAAATGTAGTCATTGGTATACTATTATATTTTTTTGTTAATATTTTGAATTAATTTAATTCATTTATTCATTAGTAATTTGGTAACACTTTACAATAAGGTTCATTAGTTAACATCTTTAGTTAACATGAACTAAGAATGAACAATACTTCAACGGCATTTATTCATCTTAGTTAATGTTAATTCCAACATTTACTAATGCATTATTAAAATCAAAAGTTGTGCTTGTTAACATTAGTTAATGCACTGTGAACTAATATGAACTACCAGTGACAACTGTATTTTCATGAACTAACATTAAGAAAGATGAATAAATACTGTAATAAATGTATTGTTCATTGTTTGTTCGTGTCAGTTAACACATTAACTAACATTAACAAATGTTAAAAACCTTATTGTAAAGTGTTACCAGTCATTTTTATTCGTTTTTAATGTCTATATAGCTTTAATAAGTTTTAGTTCATTTAGATTTAGTTATTTTAGTGCTTCAACTTTAAATGAAAATGAGAAATGTTGCCTTGGCAACTAGCTGAAATAAAATTTGTATTTTATTTTATTTCAGTTAACGTTTTACTTTATTTCAAGTAATGCATTTTTTTGTTTTAGTTCTAGTTTCAGTTCATGTTAATAACCATGAACCTGTCTGTTATTTTCTTTTGTTGAATATAAAATATGATATTTTGATTGTTTCAACCGCTTTTGTCCATACAATGAAAGTAAATGGGGTTCAAAACAATAACACTGAATCTTACTGACTTTTATTGTATGAATAGATTCTTTTGTGTTTAAATAAAACAAAGAAATACAGATCGTTTTGGAACGACGTGTGGGTTAAAATATCTCTTTAAATAGAACATATATAGGTAGATTCTAGGATGTTTCTGTAATAAGACATTTGGATTATAACCCAAAATCCATTGTTTCATAGGGGTTTCTCAGTAACTTTGCGATCTGACCTGATCTCAGACAAAAGCAATAGCAGTCCAACTGCTGTGTGAAAAGCAGTAGCTGTCTCACAGATGAAAAAGGACAGACAGAACACACAACATACACAGGTGCTGTCCTCTCTCAGTTGGTCCTCAGTTGATAATCTGTCAAAAACGTTCAAGTAAAGTAAGAAATACAACTAATACATCATATATATATATATATATATATATATATATATATATATATATAT